TATGCTGTCTAGATTGGTCCTAGCTTTCCTTCTAAGGAGTAAGTGTCTTTTAATTTCATGGCTGCAATCACCATCTGCAGTGATTTTTGAGCCCCCCAAAATAAAGTCAGCCACTGTTTACACTGTTCCCCATCTATTTGCCATGAAGTGATGGGAACGGATGCCATGATCTTAGTTTTCTGAATGTTGAGCTTTAAGCCAACTTTTTAAGCTTGGTAAATTCTTACACTGTTGGTCAGTATGCCTAGAAATCTGAACAGAAGTTTTCTTCCAAAATAATTTTGGCGTTAGTCTAAGATTAAATGTTTTGCATTCATATGTATTCTTTTCAGCCTAAATAATAAACGAATGCTCACTTTAATGGAAATAGTCGTTTTCTTACCTTTTTTTTCATCAGAGTATCTTGCGTTTGAGTGTAAAAATAATCAGAGATGATCTTCCACCTTAAAGGATGTATGTAATTTTTCAGATGTTGGAAATAAATCATTTAAAAAATGATATACCATGTTTTCAAAAAAATTTAGTGTGGCAAATCTTTAAATAGGGCATCCGTATTGCTTGGATTTTTTTTAAAACAAAGACTACATGGAGCATGTGGTAGGGAGGATTACAGACATCTTTTGGGATCGTATGCTGGGTGGGAGGGCAAGATACAACTTTTTATTTAAATTTTTTTTATCTTCTGATATCGCTTTGCATAGAATCATATTCTGGACTGTTTGCCTGTGTACTATTAGTTTTCTCAGATGCTTTAGCCATAACATTAGAATGTACCATGTGCTGTGCTGTGCTTAGTCACTCAGTTGTGTCCAACTCTTTGTGGCCCCATGGACTATAACCTGCCAGGCACCTCTGTCTGTGGGAATTCTCCAGAAAAGAATACTCCAGTGGGTTGACATGCCCTTCTCCTGGGGATCTTCTTTACTCAGGAATTGAACCTGACTCTCTGGCATCTCCTGCATTGGTAGGCAGAGTCTTTACCACAGAGCCACCTAGGAAGCTCTAATTCTTAGAACAGAACATATTAAAATTCTTCCCTGGTGGCTCAGATGATAAAGAATCTCCCTGCTATACAGGAGACCAGTGTTCAATCCTTGGATCAGGAAGATACCCTGGAGAAGGGCATGGCTACTCACTCCAGTATTCTTGCCTGGAGAACTCCATGGACAGAAGAGCCTCGTGGACTACAGTCCATGGGGTTGCAAAGAGTCAGACGTGATTGAGGGACTAATACTTTCACATATTAAAACAATATGTTAAGCTCTAAAAAGTATTATTTTATCCTTTATATGGCTTGCAAGTTAAGAATATGGGCTCTGTAATCCATATTTCCAATTGACAGAATTGCCGATTTCTTTTTCCCTTGCTGGGTCTTTTTAGGTTACTTAGGTTAAGTGAGAATATAAAGCACTTAGCATATGCCTGACATATAATGAGCACTCAGTAGATGTTAGCTGCTATCATCATTGTTGCTATCATAAACTTTAAAATCTGTTTTATAGTGAGTGTAACAGGAACATCTTAAAATGAAACAGCGGAAATGATCAGGGCTTGGGCTCAATATGATAGTTGTTATTAAACCTCAGTTTGAGCTTCTCTTGGCTTTGATGATTTTTTAAAATAATTTTATTTACTTATTTTGGCTGTGCTGGGTCTTCGTTGCTGCACAGTGTTTTCTCTAGTTGAGGTGAGCAGGGGCTACTCTCGAGTTGCAGTGTGTGGCCTTCTCATTGCAGCCACTTCTCGTTGCGGAGGGGCTTAGTTGCTCTGTGGCATGTGAGATCTTCCTGGATCCGGGATGGAACCCATGTCTCCTGTGTTGGCAGGCAAATTCTTTACCAGTGAGCCACCAGGGAATCCCCTTGATGATTTCTTTCTTCTCTCAAAAGTTTTTCATTCTTTTCCTGACCTCAAGTTAACCTCGTATTTAAAGCCCAATTTTTGTTGATTTGTTTTAAAATTTTCAATTCTGTGTTGTTGGTTTCCAGATTTTTATTGTTTTTTAGTTATTTTTTTTCTATTTGGTTTGGGAAAACTATGAAGTGAGGTGGACCGTCCATGCTAAAAAGTTTTCTACTCAGAATTTTTGTTCCCCAGTGTTCACTTGTTTCATAGCCACTGTCTTCATGGCACATCCTCCTGATAAGCAGCTGGAAATGCCCACATGTGCTACAGTTGTTTTTCAAACTGTGTGGCACCCATAGCCTTTGTTGACATCTCTTTTTCCACTAGAGGTAGTTGAGTTAAAAGGCTTAATAAAAACAAGAGAAACAAAACTCCTTGTTTTATAAATGACACTCCCCTCCTCCCACCCTGTGGGGGGGAAAAAAATTGAAACAGGTATTTTACAGTGCACAGCAGTGTCTTTTAACAGTGGCATTTTTATCCCAATTCTGTCACTCACTATTTGTCCTTTTAAAAATTACCTAACTTCTGTATATAATACATAAATAATAATAATAATAATATAATAATATAATAGTAATAAAATAAACAATAATAAAGGATTATTGAGATTTAAGTGAGTTGGTCCTCTGGAATAATGCTTAGCATAGAATGAGTGCTCAATAAGTGGTAGTTATTATTAAGATTAATATTAACATTATTTCGTTATTCTACCAACTCACTTTCAACAACAGGCTTTTTAGTTCCTCTTCACTTTCTGCCATAAGGGTGGTGTCATCTGCATATCTGAGGTTATTGATATTTCTCCCAGCAATCTTGATTCCAGCTTGTGCTTC